CCCTGAGTGGAGCTGTAGACAGGTAGGACCACCCTGGTTCCTGGTGTGTGGTTCTGTGAGGCGGCCATCCCTGCTGGACGTCTCACCCACCATCCAGGGACCCGTCTGGAGGTTCACTGTTCTTGACTCTGTGTGTCTCTTCCAGGTGTGTGGTTCTCCCCTGCCCTGTGGAAATCACACCTGCGAGGTTGTTTGCCACGATGGAGTTTGTCCTCCGTGTCCTCGGTCCATCAGCAGAACGTGTCCCTGCGGCAAGACCAGTACGAAGCCTCCACACACGACCCGCCGTTGTCCCGCTGCCGTGCTGCGCTGTTGGTCACTGTGCTGGTTTGTGTGTTTGTGTAGAGTCGGCTCTTCCGTGCACAGAGGAAGTGATGCCGTGCGGCGACACCTGCGACCGCCGCCTGTCGTGTTTAAAACACACCTGCTCAATGAGGTGTCACAGAGGAAGCTGCGAGACTTGCAGACAGGTGAAGCACCGACACACACACACCTGTGCAACGTGTGCAGGACTCTGGTTACAACACACTGACACACACTCTGTCCGCTGCAGGAGGTGGAGAAGGAGTGCAGGTGTGGCAAACACAGGAAGCTGATGCCTTGCCACAAAGAATACCTGTGTGACTCTAAATGTCCGAAAACTAGAAGCTGCCAGAGACACCAGTGCAGGAGGAAGGTGAGTGGACGGCCGCCGCACGGTGAACACACTGAGCGAGTCACGGACACACCTGCAGGTGTACGGTGCTCAACCATCGCAGTAGACCATCGGGGAAACACCAGTAGGTCACAGGGCTGTCTGGAAGCTGCTGAAATGGTGTTGTTGTTTGTTTGGCAAACAGTCCTTTTTCACACACAGGTCTGCTGGCCTCATTATCTGGTTGGTACATGAACCTACAACCAATCAGGTTCAGTCCAGAAGGGATTCATGATGCACGAAGGGGTTGTGGTGACGTTCTGGTCCATGATGCACTAAGGCAGGGGTGTCGAACTCTGGTCCTCGAGGGCCACGATCCTGCATGTTCTAGATGTTTCCTTCTTCCAACACACCTGATTCACATGATCAGCTCATCATCAAGCTCTGCAGAAGCCTGATAACCATCCTGATCATTTGAATCAGGTGTGTTGGAAGAAGGAAACATCTGGAACATGCAGGATCGTGGCCCTCGAGTACCAGGATTCAACACCCCTGCACTAAGGGGTTGTGGTAGACGTTCTGGTCCATGATACCGTCGATGTGTCCACTCTGTCTCCACTAGTGGACCTATACCATGATGGAACCTCCAGCGTGTTCCACTGTGGGTGCATCTGGCATCAAAACGTTCTCCAGCTGTTCTGAGGACACAAACATGCTGACTGAAGAGTTCAGACTTGGACTCGTCCGTCCAGAGGACCTTCTTCAGTCATCAGCAGTCCAGTGTTTGTGTTTCTGGATGTTGTCAGCAGCTCTTCTTCCCTCTAAGCCTTGTTCCATCAGTCGTCTCTTATGGTCACTCTGGAGACCTTCTCAGGCTCTGATCGAGAATCATCTCTGGCTGAAGATCAGCAGTGGTCTTCCTCCTGTCTCTAGTCCTTCAAGTCTTGAGGTGTCTTGCATCTGCTCCAGTGAACTTTGGTTTCCTGCCTTGGGGCATTTTCTAAGAACCAGTCTTGTTAAACGACTCCAGATCATACCTGACCCCACTGTCAGAACGCTTTCTGTCTCAGAGACCATCCAGCATCATGAAGAGCTTTGATGTGGACTCAGCTCTCCATGTTTTCCCATGTTGAACAGGAATGAGGGATTTGAACTGAACCTTTTTATATCCAGACCTGAGCCGCTGGGCTTCTCTGAGAAGTCAGAAATGAATCAAGCAGAACATTCAGCCACTAAAACTGATGTTTCTGTTCAGGAACGTAAACAAATATAATCTAACATCTGAGTCAGGAAAGAATCATGTGTTTCAGTAGTTTTTGTGTTTTTTTGTGAAGTTTTAAATTGGAAAATAACAATAATGATTAATTTTAGCATTAAAGAGCTTCTACATGCTGGTGTGTTAACAGTGACAGAAACCTGAGACATGATGTTGGTAATTAGCAATGCTGTTAATGTAGAGCCGCTGTGGCGTAGACCTGACACTGGTGGTGCTCTAGTACATCAGTTAAACGCTGTACATCTGGTTCATGTCGCGGTGGGAGAATGCTGCGATGTTCCTTGAAGTGTGTTTGATCTCAGCCACAGAGCCACAAACTGCTGCAGTGCAGGAGGAAGACCTGGTGTGTCACAAAGAAGCAGAAACCCTTCAGTCGGCGTGGCGTCTGGTTCTGTGTTCTGGAGCGTAAATGTCACAGCGATGCCATCGAGTCTGCTCTGTGTGATAGAGAAAGGTCGGCCTGTTATCACACTCCCTGAGCTGACGGCTCCCGTTCAAAGCATCACTGTGTCCGTCGCTTTAATGTCACTGGCTGCGAGTAAAGCTGCTTTCAGCCGTCGTTTAAATGTCAAAAGCAGAGCAGCCGCCCTGAGCCTGTACGCTGAGGACGGAGCAGTCTGTGTCCTCCTGACTAAACCCTGTCCCCATGCCTTGTGTTGCAGTGTTGCCCCGGTAACTGCCCCCCCTGTGACCAGAGCTGTGGCCGAACTCTGGGATGTCGAAACCACAAGTGTCCTTCAGTCTGTCACCAAGGTAACCAACAAACTGCAGCTTCTCACATGTGACACGTCTGTACCTTTGAATTCAGGCTGGAGAAAGATGTTCCACCATCAGTAGAAAGATGTTCCACCATCAGCTGTAGAAAGATGTTCC